AAAGGTAATAAAATTGTACGCCAAATCAATCTGGAGAAGAAACAGAGTAGGTTTTAAAAACTAGGCAGATTGTTTTGGGATGGTCTATTTGATTGTGGTAAAGCACACCAAAGCTATCAGCCTAAGGGGAGGGAGGCTTTCGTGGACGACTTGATAAGGAAAACTGGGTCGTATACACGTTACATATGCGGAAAGCCATGAAAATGCCCATGCTGTCGGCCTGTTCGCCGGGATTTGAGCCCCGGATCGAACTACCAGCGTTCAGCGACTTTACCGCTCAGCCGCGGGTGGGCCAAAAGTAAGCAGAAGTAAAGCAAAATTAGATTGGCTCATTTTTTCGAACTACGAGTTCGTTGATGTTTTTTCAAATAATTACTCCACATGAACAGGACATAAAATTGTAGTGAGCTGCACTGCGTGTGCACTTTCAGGAGTGCTACGTGTACTATCAGGGATACTATGGGGCAGTGTTGCATAATGGGGGGCACTGCATAGTTAGTATTGTAATGTATTGAAATTGCATAATTAGTATTGTAATGTATGAGTGGTAATGTATGAATTGTATAAATCAGTATCGTAATATATAGTGCACTGTTGCAAAATTAGTGTTTAAATGTATTATAATTGAACATTAGTATCGTAATGTTGTAAAAGTAGCATGTTACAAAAGCCCCTGTATGGCCATGTACTTATATTTTTCTCAGATATCAACAAACACTGGGACCCGGGCAGTTGAACTTCAAGCGAACCCATCGGCGGCTCTGGATAATGGCGGACGTGGTGCTGTACTGATTAACTATTAAGGTAAAGGGACAGTGCCCACGTCCTCCGTCACTTATCACTTATCACATAAACAGGAAAAAAGTGACAATTTATTATAAAAAATTGATGACACACAGCAAAATAAATAGCTGTCATGAAAAAACGCAGCTGTTAAAGCAATGTTTTCTTAGCTGACGAGCAATTTCATAAATCTCCTAAACCATCCGCAGAGTAAACTCCAAATCGCAATTCTCTCAGCTAACTCTTACAGTTGATTAACAAAACATGTGAGCAGAAACTCTGTTATTAAAGCTGTTATTGCCACCCTAAAGCTGTTATTGTAAAAGCAACAAATAAACAAATAACTGAATAAAGCTATACCCCCCAAAAATAACGCAATGAAATTAAATTAAATATTTGCAAAATTTAGAACAGTATGTTTTGTATGAAACTTTCTCTGCTTCAGGGGCGACTGGACATAGACTCTTGTCCATCAAGCGACGAAGTCACACCTTCAAGCTCCGGGTGATCACCCTATCCTGTACGCAACATGTCTAGGCTGTACAGAGCTTTTGATGAACATAGCATAAACTACAGTAATAGAAGATTGTTGAAAAGGTAGATTGTAGCAATTTAGGCATACTGATGTTATGAACAAAGTTCAGTGATCAGATGAAAGTCTACCGATGATAATGAAGGTGAGATTTAACTGCAAATAGTTGCTGTGTAGGTAAATTCAATTCGGCATTCCAAGAGTTAGTACTTGCAGAGCTGACGTAACCAGCAGCGGTGGCGCTAGTACATTTATGGTAGAGGGAGGCAGGTAATCTAATGAGGAATGCGTTGAGGAGAAGAGAAGCACTATTGGCAGGCATATCAGGTCTTCAAAACTACAACATTCTTTGCAAATGTAGGAGGCGCAGTAACTATATTTATAGAAAATTTAGCGACAGAGCAGAAGGAACATGAACATTTCGAGGAAAACAGTAATGGAATACAAAAAAATTTAAGATGCTAAAGGGTGAAACGCTGAGACGTACAATTCGATCAACCCATAGTTTTCAAAACTCTAACGTCTTAGGTTTTTCACATTTCATTTCTGTTTACCTCGACCCAGGTTCGCTTCGTCCACTGATTTTCCCATAACTATGGTTGTTGATTCTCTCATTTTTACAAAAGTATTTTGTTTCTGAGGAGAAGCGACGTGTGACTATAGTGGCTTTAGAAATCGATAAATTTTTATATAAAATCTGCGCTGTCTTTTCGGATAATTTTAAACTCAGAATCAGCGCGTCGGATAACCAATCATTTCAAATTTTCTAGGAAAACTTTTGCATTATTTTATTCGGTAAATGTAAACACGTATTTCAAAAAGGAAATAAGTGATTTTAGCAATAAAAATCGTATTTGTTTAGGAAATAATTTCAAATACTAATCTTCATTCATCGATTGTGTCAAATGAATTTCGCGTTCCATGAAAAGTTTTCCGAAAGTTTCTTTTACTACCAAAAACGGAAGCACTGCAACTTCCAGTAAATTATGCAGGGTGATGCATTTTAATTTCCCATTTTCAGTGTCGAGACATTACTTACCATGTCACGAGTATTGTCCTACATAACATTCGCAATCTCATGACCAATCTCTGTTTCTTTTTTTGTTGTCGAGTCCGTATTTCGTGGAATAATGACTACCAGAGACTCAAAGAGATTGGACTTCTACTTCCGCTCCAGTTTTGAGGAACTGAGGAAGAGTATCCCCCGGGTGGGGCTTTGAGTGGCTCCCAACCCTCTTCCCTATCCCTACCTAATTTCTAGGTACGCCATTCAATATTATACAGTATTACTCAAAAAAGCTCATTAGTTATAGAAATGCATAGTAACCTTCACGAAAAATATGAAACATAAATAAAAAAATCTGATGTGTACACCATATGACTTCCTTGTACGGAATATTAAATTATACGCGTTTCTTCTGCCTTTTATTTAAATTTATTGAATTAAATCTACTTCGTCCAAAGCGCATAAACCACCATAGAATAAATGCATTCTTTAAAATTCACTATATTTGTTTACCATAGAAACACTCTGGCGTTAGGTTCACTTAACAGCGTTACATCTCATTCATTTTATAACTCAGAATGCACAAAAATTATATCATCTGAAGAATTATCAAATCGTTGTCACATGTTCTATTAAAATACTGTAATAAATCTCAAACGATGTATAAAAGAAATTAAACAAATGCAAAACAAACAGTTTCTCACTGACGATACAGCGCCGCTTATCTAATGCGCATGCGCTACTAGTAAACATTCTACTCGGTCTGATACAGACTGGTGACAATATTTCCTGATAATACGAAACGCTTTATATCCTCGAATTTCATTAGACGTATATTTCTCATTCAATTAATTCAGTTTTCAACATCGAGGCAAGGCAAAAAATATATAAAAACTCAAAATATCTTGTTTAAAATTTGAATGATATAGAAAAACATAAAACACCAAGTACAGTTAAAACAATTTTAAAAAACCTTTTACAATTAAAATTTTTGCTCAAAAACAAGCAATTCGGCCAGCAGGCAATGCACAAAACTAAAAGTTTCTGCTAAGTTTCAAATGTAAACAAATATAGCTGCAGTGGTAAGAAAAGTTAGGCTTAAACACACATAAACAACTTTTAAATTGTTCATAATTCTACAGCTATCGCATGCAGACTAACTAAAGGCATAAAAACCTTAACCGGAGGATAAGAACAATAGAATTCAATCATTTTTAAAGCGAAAAGTGCACACTTATAAGAATAAAAAAAAAACATATAAGAATAATAAAAAAAACTCAGCTTACTGAGCCGAGTAACAGAGGGGTATATATATATATATACCCCTCTGTTTTTATTTTATTTTTTTTATTATTACATATATATATATATATAAATAATAAAAAAATTCCATAGTCAAGAATACACTTAAAATTCTAACTGTATGTTCTTTTCTTTTTTAAAGGCGACGTTCTCTTATTTGAAAGTACGTGGAATTAAATTCACAGCCCCGTAGTCAAGTTGTTTTCCCGCCTTTTCTACACGTACAGTTATAGAATGTTCTGGAAATATTTAAAGCTAACTGGATTGGCTGACGTCATTTCTTGGAAGCTCCGCCTTTTCAGACGCTATAAAAAGACTCGCAAAAGAATATCGGAGCTTTTCTTTAATGCAACGATGTAGTAAACTTCATACAAAAAGTTATTAGTAATTATTTTTATTTACTCCGGATATCTGATTTTGTAACTGCTATTTCTCCTGAATAATAATAAATGGATCCTGTTCTAATAAACTTATCGTCTGATACTGAGAGCTTCGACTACATCTGTGATTCTTCACCAATTTGTTTTCGGACAAAAGTTGGTACATCATATATATATATATATGCACATTTTTTAATTATTTTAATTTTGAATTTGCTTTTTTACGTATTTACATGTTTGCTAAAATATATATATACTTTTGATTTTGCCGATAGAAACCAAAAAGGAGATGCGTAACTACATATTACAGCAGTCCTATATATAAAATTTAAACCTTCTGAGGCTATTCGCTTTTGAGTTATGTGAGATACATACATACGTACGTACAGACGCTACGAAAAAAAAATCTCTTCTGAACCCATTTTAAATCAGTTCGTTTGAAGAAAAGATTACTTTATTCTGTCCTTACGTACAGATATCACATCATCAAATTGTATTCGATAGAGGTCAAAATAGATGTTTTCGTTGAAATATGCTACGCGGAATTTTTAGCGATTACAATACTTTCTTTATTTCATACAACGAAGTAAAAAAGAGTTATTTTCTAATATTTTTTTATAGACAGTTAAGAAAGTATACAGAAAATAGTGAATTAAACTTATATTTTGTGACTATACAAATTTAATTAGATCATACAACTTTAGTACAGTTAAAGTATTTAATATCTTAAGCATTTTTAAAACTCAGTTTATTAAATTAGCTAAACTTAATTTGTACATAACATAATTAATTGAATAAAACAATCAAGCAAATAAACAAGTCTAAAGAATCGGTAAAAATTCATGAATTATAAAATTTTATCTTTTCTAAAATGCAAACAAATGAATAGTTAAGATTTTCTAAAAAATTCTCTTTTTCGAATATAAAAAATATTTATATTTGCTTGTTTTCATTTTTTTCTAAATTTACGTAACAAAAGCTTATATCATATGTCAAATATTACAAAATATTCAAGCGAATGTAATAAAAAATAACAGAAGTTTGAAGAATTCTTAGAACAATCTGAATTATTTTCATCCAATCTTAATACATATCTTCTATTTCTTTGGAATATTTAAAACTAATATTCGTGTTCTATAATTCCTATTTTCTTATTTTAAATGATTATAAAGCTGTTTCGACAATTTAAATGAAAAGATATTTGTTTTCAAGTAGCTAGTCCTGGATAACTGATTTAGGTAACCCCTCATTAGTAAATCTATATTTGCATTTTGCTACTATAAAGCATGAGAAATATTTGGAGCCTAAAAGTGTATGTAATAAATGCATCATTTTCATTTCATAAAAGTTTAATTAAAATTATTTCCGAACTCACTTCTAGGTCTTAGTTAATAAGAATTCCTAAAGATTATCAACTGCACTTTAAACAGAAATTTAGCAGAAGTTCAACAGTTTTTCTACAGAAAAGGAAACTCATATAAAAATAGGATTTTTCATCATTCATTGGATATTTAATTTATTATGTAATTTTTTCTTATTATTCGAACACAATTCATTTTATGTGAATATACTTAACAGCAGCTGTTCAGCTTTCAAAGTTTAGTCGTCAGTATGAGAGCCACAATTAATCCATACAGTCCAAGCACTTCTGCAAAGATGAGAATGAGAATCATTCCGACGAATAATCTTTGTTGTTGGGCAGTTCCTCTTACCCCAGCGTCACCTACAATGCCTATGGCAAAACCAGCTCCCATGCCACTGATACCGACGCTGAGGCCTGCACCGAAATCAAGGAATCCTCTGTAGAGTTTATAGCCATCCTTGGGAGAGCTTATGCCATTTGATATCAGGACAGCTACTACGAGGCCGTAAATAGCAATAATACCAGCCATAACTACTGGTATTATGGATTTCATGATTAGCTCGGGTCGCCTGACAGCCATTGCTGAAATCCCTATTCCAGATTTCGCTGTTCCATATGCTGCTCCAAGAGCACTAAAGCTCATGGCCATTGTAGCTCCCATTACTCCGAAGAAAACGCCATACTGTGGTGCCTCTTCGTTAACACTCATATTTAAATTTCTTTTATAGGAAAATTTATCAAGTTAGCTTTACCTTTCAGTATACTCTGAAATGTAGTATTTATTTCAGTGACTCTTGTATTTCATAAACGTTTTCCTCATTGCAGAAAACTATAAATAATAAAATTTATAGAACAACAAAAGAGTCAAAATTAATGCCACAGAACAATAAACAAATGCTGTTATTTATATGCTGTCATATAATTAAGAATTAGTTTATGTTTTATACTTGCATATAATTTTAAGTATTTACAGGGTAAGTAAAACTTTCATTCATTGCAGCTACATTTGTTATTGTTTAAAATGTTAAAATAGCGTAAGAAGTAATAAATTTTGTGAAAAAAATAAATCAACGTGAATGTTGTTTTCTTTGGCTGAAATAAATGCTCATTTTAACACTGTATTATAAGTTTGTTCATTTAGTAGTTAAAATAAATGGCAACAAGCGTGAATTGGTCATTAATAAACTGTAATGCAAAGGGTTATGAATTACAATGAAAGTATGTTATATATTTCACAAAGCTGATTAAGAACTAAAAAACTAATCTAGATAATAATGATCTTGTTTGATCCTACTTAGGGACTGTAAATTTATTAACTTTTTCACTTAGCGCTAATTCATTAAAATTGATAATCAAAACCGGTGTACCGGTATTTTTAATTTCCAAAGAAAATTCTGAAAATTTAAGAGTAATTAATATAAAACTAGATGTTTTATTCAAAACTTCTCAGGCAGTATATAAAAAGGTCTGAGGTAAATTATATTCTGAAACGAAAATATAGATTTATGTAAGAAATATGAAATTTAAAATAGCGCCTAGAAATGGAACTGAGTCTAGAAAATTTTCAGAATCAATACCATACGTTATTTGTCTTATTTCTGTTTCTGTTTTCATATAAGCATTCAGCGATTCTACGATTTTCTTCGTAACTGTAGTTTTATTAAAAATATTAAAAATGTCCAAATTCTAAGTTTCAGTTTCTGTGTTTATAATAAAAAATCGTTGCAGAATATCAAACTATCTTTCTTTTATGTTATACTTAAAAGAACTATTAACTTCATAGTTCAAAACTGAGTTTTAAATTTTTATTTCATCAAGCAGGAATTTTAACGTCTAGCGCTGTGTGAAAATAAACGATTTAGAGTCACGTGTTTCAGTTTTATCGATTGTAGTGCTAGTATTGAATTAAAAAAATACCAAAGTTCATTTTAAAACATACATCAAAGAAAACTCACTTCAGTGAGTTTGAAAATATGCATAAAAAATTTTAGGAATATCAAAATAATGCCATACAATAGCCAAATATTGCCAGTTTGGAGAAAAAAATTAAAGCCAAGGCCCATCAATTAGATTTTTGCCCAAATATCAAAGCTATCTTTATAGGGTTCTGCTTTGTCTAGGAGTTTAACTCAATGTCCTTCAGATCTTACTAGACTTACAAGACATGACTTATGCTACATAATATTCAAGGGTATCTAAAATAACATAAGATCAAGGTCAAATGTAAGTAATATAGTCTGACACTGCACACAAAACAGTCTATGTAAGCTCAAAGTCTTGTATATCTCTATGTAAGCTCTAAGTCTTGTATGTCTCTATGTAAGCTCTGAGTCTTGTATGCTCTAAGTCTATGGTTTCATAGTTATGTAAGCTATGAAACAAAGGACGGCGCGCTTTTAACATTGTCCAGGACTGTTATTCCTTCAAATTGCCTTGGGAAACAGTACTTAAGTCCTGAGTAGGAACAGGGAGCTAACTCAAGCTATGTTCGTGTCAGCGTGGAAGAGACAATACAAATAAGGATTAACCCATTAGCCGCTGGTGTTGCGTTGACGCAACGGTCAAAAGAAATGCGTATATAAATATAACCATCAAAGATATTTTATACCAGCAGATGATTTTGTGTAGGGAATATTATGAAGTTTATTTCTGTAAAAAATATTTGCCTTCAACAATCCTTTTGTTTATAATAATTAATCTCATACTTTAAGCAAAATTTAAGCAACATTTTCGACCGGGTATTTTTGCTGAAAATATTTAACGAAAGAATCGCCGTCTTTATGAGTGATCTATTTTTAGTCAAGGTCACCGTTTATCAGAACATTACATCAGTCAGATGTTTATATTTGTGTTGGGAAGGAAGGGAAAACAGGTGTTGCGCTGACGCAACGTCAGCAGGAAACGAGTAGTCAATCTCCTTTTTCACTCATTCCTTTCGATGTTCTGGTTCATGTTCTGGTTGTTTAAAAATGCCCAGAACGAGGTATCTTACATTATAAGAAGCCCTTCAAAGATTTTTTGGATGAAGAAACAGATGATTATAATGTTAATAATGACCAGAATGAAACTGATATTGTTGTTGTTCCCCCAGAAATTGCAGAAGCTAGTGACGAAAAGAAAGGAATGGCAATAATGATAATGATATTTTACCAAATGATACTGCTGGGAAAGTTAAAATTCACGTAAGAAGTAAGTTTCAGCCTTATAAAAGCAGTTATAGTCATACTAAAAAGTTTAAAATCAGAAGACTGAAATCTTGAAGTGGATAAAAAAGGAACTTTTAGTTATGTCTGAGGAAGAACATGAAGAAAGAGATAGAAGAGAAATTATAAAAGACAAAATACAAGGTAAAACTAGTACACAGATTTTCGATTTTCTTTTTGGTTTAGAGAATTACTCTTTCTCGTTGAACAAACAAATATATACGCTCATCAAAAAAAAAAAAAAAAAAAAAAAAAAAAAAAAAAAAAAAAAAAAAAAAAACCACCCAAAATTTATTGCATCTGAAGCCTATATGAGAAGATTTATCGGAATATTATTGCTTACATTGTTTACAGGATATCATTCTTTACCTCAAGAAAAAATGTATTGGTCTTTTGATAAGGACATTTTTGTTCCTGTTGTACGAGAATCGATATCACGTTTGCAGTACAGGAATATGAAACAGAATTTGCATTTGACAATAGTCAAATTGACAATACTGATAAATTATATGAGGTGAGACCGCATCTAAACTTGCTAAATATCACCACTTTTTACTACTGGAAATATAAAGTGTCTTTTAGATTTCAGGCGCGAGAATGAATTATTCCTTTTGCAAACTCCTATTGAGAGTGTAGAATTAGCCAGAAATACTAGAACAGCAACAGGAAGAACTAGTAAATTCAGCATTCAAAAACCATTGCATGGAGATGGTAGACATTTTATCGTAAAGTCCGTTGATAACAAAAGACTTTATTGTAAAGAGTACCATAGCCACACTGTTTATAGATGCAAAGTATGTAATGTAGCTTTACATCATGATTGTAATCAAGCTTTTCATGCTTGAATCTTTCAAATGAAATAATCTGTATTTGTCAAAGAAATACAATGCATATTTTAATATTAAATTAATTAGAAGTAAAGTGATTTGTAGATTTATAAAACGTTATACAGCTAAAAAGTAATCCGGCGCTCCACTTAAAAGAAACATCACACGAGTACAATCCTATTCACTAAACATCCGTAGTCTTATTCAGCTGACGTTGCGCGAGCGCAACACTCGCTTTTTCCACAGGTAAGAGTAATTTTTTTAATTTTTAATATAAATTTATGTTATAAATGCTTAATTTAATATTTGTTATTATTTTCATGAGAAAAGAAACATTCCTTGTAGTTTTGGCGGGTAATGTGTTAACTTTACCCTTTATTTCTCACAGCCTACAGCAGCTCCCACACTTCGGGATACACAGACAAGCACTTTTGGTCTAAAATGTAGAAAATAAGAAATAAACTTGTAAGGATTATGTTAATTTTATTAACAGTTAAATTTTGAGTTCCTTTCCTGTATTCTTAACTTCAACTTCCGACCAGAACGTAGTTTTAGAATCACGTCTGAATACATTATGAGGAAGAGCGGTATTTAACCGCGAAGTTCATCTGTCTTAGAGAGAGAGATACCAGGTATTCTGGCTGCACGCGTCCGCCTTTATAGGCTACTCTCTCGTAAGCTATTATTACACTCGGCCGTACTTTAGGTTCTTGAGGGCCCAAGGGGCCAACTCGGTTAGAATCTTCATAGCTTCGGCTATATGCCTTTTGTTTAGATTAGTTTAGTATTATTCTTAGTGTCCTAAGTTCAAAGCCAAAGTGTCGGCTTTATTGTAAGCTCCAAGACGGAGTTTGTTAAACTTTAGTTGGAATAATAAAGGTCTAGTTTACCCTTATATCTTGTTGTTTCCTGTCACACGAACTCAAGCGATTATTCGCTTATCAGTTCTTAAGGGGCCTCATACACCTTAAAACCCATAATGTTCGAATAGGTGTCTGTTGCAAGAATTGGGATAACTTATTTATTTTAAAAGCAATTACTACCAACATTTTACAGCTGACTACATAATATAGCTGCTTTCTGAAATAATCATCAGAAAGTTTGTGTTGCCACAAATACTTTTATAATTTAATCCGCTTTGTGACAACATTTTTCGTCATATTTCCAACTTGCGCGCACAGTTTAAAACATTCTGTTTCATAATTTAATTCCATATTTAATATATAGCTTTTATAACATTTGGAAACTACTGTGAACCTAAAATTCTAAAAGTTTCCTGTTAAATTTTTATTTTATTTTGAGTTGAGTTTATAAAATGTATTTTATTAACAAAATTTTTAATTTTTTCGTCCATAAAATTTTTGAAAATTAAAATATTCATCAGATTGTTGGTTCAGTTAGAAAATAGTGCCCACATAAAGAATTCCATTCAATTTCAAGTATGTACCATTAGCCATTTTTAAAATATCATGCGCGCAAGGTGGAAAGATGGCGAAATATTTTGTCACAAAGAGGATTAAATTGCAAAAATATTTGTGGCAACACAAACTTTCTGGTTACTATTTTCCAAAGCAGCTATATTATGTAGTCAGCTGTAAAACGTTGGAAGTAATTGCTTTTAAAATAAATAAATTATCTCAATTCTTGCAACAGTCACATATTCGAAGATCATAAGGTATTTAAGATGTATGAGTCCCCTTAAGATTCTTCAGGTTCAACTGTACCTTAGCATTTACAAAGTGAGGACCTCTATAAATTAACTTAACTAACCAA